TGCCTTGAACTCAGTACGGTACCCGGCATATTTAGATTTAGTTAGATCCTCCTCCCTGCAAATTCCTTTAAAGAAGGGCTCAATCTCTCTTCTCTCATTTCTGTATGTTAACAGCACTTGGCCCATCCTAGTTGCTCAACGCATGCTTGCAGCATTGAACTGAATACCAGATTTCTAGCCTTATCCCTTGGGAAAGAGCAAATACTTCCACACTGACCCCCCAAGAAAATTTATTTCATGAAAATATCCAATGAAATTACCCCAGCTGTAAGGTGTGAAATCAGTCTTGAGTATGCATATTCAGCTGCCCTTTCTTAGAACATTCTCCCTCCTATGGACTCGAGACAGTGTAATGGAGCTCACAGTCACGTATTTAGCAAACAGTCATCTTGTTACACTTTTGTAAGCACTAAAGTATCTATGTGTCAGGGGTGGGGAGAGGGAACTGCTGGATGTTTCATGTTTGTCCTCTATGATCGAGTAAAGGGTTAGGCATCACAGTCTTCTGCCCAGCCACCTTCATCGTTTCCCTGTGAAGCCAGAATTTATGTCCATGGTATTTAGTACAGTATCATTCTTATAATGTGCACAATAAAATTTTATTGATTGGTTAATGCCATTCAATAAAATATCAGGCTAAGGACATATGGAAAATCATTGACACTTAAAGGTTTAATGCAAGATTTTGGAGTCTGGATTGAAATCTAGCCCTCCTGATCAAATTCAATGCTCTTTCGGACAGATTGTTCTGTTTTGGAGAAAGACGCCCCACTTCAGATTACAATCAACTAGGAAAGCCAGGCCCACATTCCACTGAATGCTGCATTATCTGTTCAAAGTGCTATAAGAGCAGAGAAGACTGGGTGACTAACTCTTTGGCAAGGCAAGGAGACTTTTACACAGTGAATGACAACTTAACCAAGTCTAAAAGGATGAAACATATATTGACTGGGTGTTTCATGGCTACATTATGATTGTGCTCAAAATTTTCCAGTAAGAAAAGGCTACATTTCTATCTCTTTGAAGTGGATTTCTTTAGACTAACCAAGCTTTTAAAAAAGATTGGTGAGGGAGATCTTTTTTTTTTTATTTTTTTGGCATGAGTCTCAATTGATGTTATTTAAGCACCTTCCAAAATACTTAGAGCATGCGTACATCACCTTCTTGATGCAAAATAGCACACACCAGTGTATTCTCTAATTTCCCAAATAGTATACATATTCCTGATGCTCTTAACGGTAAGCTGTAGCAGGTTTTGATGATATTCTGTGCTATTTAAATCTACACCTTAAGTTTCAAGAGAGAGGTTCAGCCAGCCTAGTCATTCTTAAAATATTTAGATCATTTACAGGAAAAAGTAGCTACTATCTAAGAAACCAACAAAATTGTCCTGAATTCAGGAAAAAAAAAAAACTGTTGTCATTTGCTACTATCTCAGGATAACTAAAAATTGCATGTACATTTAACTTTCCACCACGCTTATTAACACAAGTACATAAGCATATGCTACAGGATATCACATACGTTTCTCTAGAGTCTCAGAAACTGTGTCTTAGATACTGATACAATGTGAACAATGTTAGTCTGGGAGTTGGGAACCAGGGAATCTTGGGTGAATGTAGGCAAATCAGATTGCCCAAGAGAGAGTAGAACAAAGGATCAATAGAAGATGTGGGACGATGAATACATATCAGTGGGTCTAAGAATATAATCTATGGGTGGCCTTCAAGAAGCTATAAACTGCCTGATATTGTGTACACAACTGGGTATGTATACTCAAACCTACATTTTTCTGGGATTGATTTTTATCAAAATCTCAGAATAGTTTGTATTCCCTTTCTCTCCTCTCCCTCACAAAAAGGTTTAAAAGCATTAGGCTAAGAGTTTTCATTAGTGAGAAAGAAGTTGCTATCAGGTCCCCATTGTTTTAGAATTGTTTATTGTTTATATTTATGCCTGGTTGACTGAATGATAAAATGTACATATGAAGTTCCCTGTTTAAAAGCTTCTCCAGTATTGTTTTCTTAAAACTTGGACTCAAAAGTCAACCATAGTTTAAGAGGAATCACTAACCCTACATTTGACACCAGCCACCCTGTGCCAAGGCCATGTCTAGACTATGGGATATTAGAAAATCCTGGCCTGGGGGTATTAGAAGAATAGATAGTAGATATCATTACTTCTTTGTTTGTTCACTGTGCTTAATATTAATACATAGTGCTTTTTAATTTCAAAAAGTCTGATTTTTTTTGTGTTCAGTTTAGAAAAGCTGATCCCACACCACATGCTCCCAGTAGCCTTTAATGTATTAACTAATTCAAGGGCCAACTGAATTCTTAGGTTGTGCCCTCTTCTGAGATTTCAACTTATACCTTCAGACATTCAGGATATTCCTGGGAAGCAGCAGAACTTAGCAAAAAAGAATAGGAGCTTTGGTCTCAGATAGGCTCTGGTTCCAATCCCAGCTTTGCCCACCACAAGCTATGTTCCTTTGAACACATTACTTAGCCTTTCTAAGTCACTCTTTCCTTATAAAATGGATTTAATAACACTTCACAAGTTTTGAAGAGTAAATGAGATAATATGTGTGTCTGACACAGGGTCTGCACACAAAAATATATCACTACCATCCAATCAAAAAGTGCTCTCAAGGAAAAGCTAACAAACTTATTGACACCACCCTGTGCCCATGCCACATCCTTCTGCGCCACAGCACGTTGCTCTAACATTTATCGTATTCTGTCCTATATGCAAATTTGTTGTTTTCATGACTCTCTGTTGTGGGGCCTCACACATAGGCCTTTATTCCAAGATAGTTGAGAATGGCCAATCAAGAGCATTGTTGGGATCACAGGAAGATGTGTACATGTGTTTGTGTGTTAGTGAAAATGACTCAAGTAGTGCAAGGCAGAGGTCCAATAACCTACTAAAGTCAACATCCTTGGGGGAAATATTCACTTACTGCTTAAGGTCTAGATCAAGTGTCCATAAACTACGGCCCATAGGCTAAACCTGGCCTGCCCCTTCCTATACAGCTCATGAATACAGCCATACTCATTCATGACATATTGGCTATGACCCCAAGCCAGAAACATTTACTATCTGACCATTTACTGCAAAAGTTTTCTGACCTCTGCCCTAGAGCAGGGCAATAGAAATACGATGTGATTTTAAATTTCAAATGTTATGTAATACATGTATTATATAAATATACATAATTTTACATTTTCTAGAAGACATATTAAAAAAGTAAAACAGATTTTAATATTTTAATTAATCAAATATATCTAAAAGCATAGAAGTTATTAATGAGATTTTACTCTTTTTCCCATACTAAGTGTTTGAAATCCGGTGTCAGTTTTACACTTACACCCCATGTCAGTTTGGACTAGCCACATTTCCACAGTGCCCACATGTGGCTGGTGGCTGCCATACTGCACAGTGCCGGTCTAAAGGTCCACGTGTGACAGTGGCATCATGAGGACAGAAGTGGCTGTGTGATCGGGCCTTGGCCAGGTCACTGATCTGAACACAGGCAGATTACCTTTGGGAACCCAGTCAGGCAATGGATAACTCTGGAGCCTATGTGAGACAAATCAGGGAATAAAAACCAGTGAAGACAAAAAGCGAGAAAGTTAGAACATGCCTGAGGGAGAAGGATGAAGGGAAATGAGAGCTACAGAAGATGAAGCCGCCCAGAGCTACAATGAGTGAGTGCACATGCACACTCGCTTGAAGTTTAATAAAATTAAATGTCAATTTCCCTACCATTTAGATTTGAAATAATTCTTACATTTGTTATATACCCTTAAAGGATCATTAGCTCTTGAAAGGCAAAAACTGTTACATTAATTTTCTTATGTGATCATGGTCCCTACCATGGTGCACGGCCCTCAGCTGCTGCTTAAAATACACTAGCTGAAGCTGAGACTAAGCAGCAGACTGCCGATAAATGGATGATGAACAAATGACTGTCTGCATGAACGACTAGAAATATCATAATAAACCAGTTTTTAGTGACTGATAACAGTTTCCATCTCCCCAGGATGCTCGAGGTTTAAAAAGGATCAGAGTCTGAAAGTTAAAGAAATAAAGTTCCACTGACAAACAGCAAGCATTACTCCGTCAGTAGAAAAAGTGATCCTTTATTCTTTTGGTGGTTTGTTTTGGGAGTGGAAGTAGGGAGTCCTGACCACAAGTCACCCATATGTATTCTTTCCAATAATTAAGATAGGCAATTTTAACAAAGCAAACTAATACAAAGGTGCTCATAGGCTAATGCAGCCAATTTCTGCCCCAAATTCTGCACTCGCAAAGCAGACTTGGTCCAGATTGTTCATGCTGTTACTCTGAGTGAGCTAGGGTGCTGATCTGCATAGCCTTCAAGACAGCGAGATTCAAAATTGGACACAAACTGAAGACAACCTAGGGGTACAGTCAAGCTTCCAAGACTTTGGGATTGCAAATGCAGTTCTGCCACTTCCCAAGCCTCATGTCTCTAACGCACATATTTCCGTTTTGGCTTCTGGGTTGTCTTTCTTCCATATTTGAAAGGCAAACTTCGAATTGCTCATATCACAGGAAATTATTTGTTACAAAACAGAGAGAAAATATTTGTTTATTACTTTCCAGTTTTACTAGGTTTCAGAGCCGCAATTTAATCAGCATCATCTAGCTAAATTTCCCCAACAGTGACACAGGGAAAGAAGTAGTATTCTTCCATGGAATATGGTAAGCTACTTGACATTGGAGGCATTTGGATGAGGACAGTAAAGAACTATATTCATAACCGTGATGGTTATGTGTCAACTTGACTGGGCTACCGGTGCCCAGACATTTTGGTCAAACATTATTCTGGGTGTGTCTGTGAGGGTGTTTCTGGATGAGAACAACATTTAAATCAATAGGCCTGAATATAAAAAAAAAGGGGGGGGCTGAATAAGAGAATTCCCGCCTGACTGCTGCGGTAGTCTGAATAATGGCCCACCAAATTGTTCCTAGAACCTGTGAAGATGTTACCCTATGTGGCAAAAGGAACTTTGCAGATGTGATGAAGTCAAGGATCTTGAGATGGGTAGGTGGGCCTGGATTATCCAGGTAGACGCAATGTAATCACAAAGGTCCTTATAAGAGGAAAGTAGGAGGGTCAGAGTCAGAGAAGGAGAAATGATGATGAAGCAGAGAGTGAGATAGAGAGAGATTGGAAGATGCTACCATCTAGGTTTGAGGATGGAGGGTAGAGCCATGAGCCAAGGAATGCAGGCAATTGCTAGACGATAGGAAAGGCAAGAAAACAGATTCTTCTGTAAAACCTCCAGAAGAAATGTGACCCTGCCAACCCATTTTAGGATTTTTGGCTTCCAGAACTACAAGAGAATAAATTTGTGCTTTTTTAAGGCATTAACTTGGTGGTCATTTGTTATAGCAGCAATAGGAAACTAATACATATAGATTATATATACACATACAATTACATTTAAATAATAGATTTAAAAATCAAGTTATTATTTAAATGTTACATTTCTATTAGTCCTTTCAAGGAATTGAACTGAAAGTACTCCAAGGCATTATGTTCCTTTGGAGACTTAAAAGATGCCTGCTAGCTATAAGCTACCATCTTTTACAAATTAAAAAGGAAGGCCAGCCTTAGAGAGCAGGATTTCAAGCAGATGACGATACCAAATGGGGCAGATTCTAAGAAGGAAAAAGATTGCAAACAGAGAAGCTAAGCTTCCAGTCCAGTAAGAGTGGAACCAGCACTCTTACACCTCTTACGTGTTAGTCTGGCCTGTGCTACGTACCTTGTCACACCACCATGATAACAACCTGACAAGATGAACTATTGATTAGTAAAGAGTGGAACCAGAAGTTAAACCAAAGCTGATGTGACTCCAATGCACATGCTATCAGTATTCTACCATCCTGCCTCTCACGTATTTGCAACAAGAATATTGTCTGTTCATATTCCTTACCCTGTCCACTCCCTGATGCATTTATAAATTGGATTCAGTGTCAAAGTACCTATTCTTTAACTGGTGCCCTTCTCCCTTCCTGGCCCACACTTAAGTGTGTGTCTCTTCTCCTTACATTGTGTTGTCTTTGCTCTGTGCTTTGACGCAGTAGCCCTCTAGCCCCCATTATCACACCGTTGTGTTGGGGGAATGAGGAGATCGCCTTCCCTATATGAGCGTGTTCGTATCTGCCGCCTGTCCTCAGCCTCCTTCCAGGAGCGACCTGCCCCAAGCCCCAGAGTCCTCCTGCGGTTACATATGAAATTGCCACGTGTAGCTAGGAAAAGACAAGCCAGGGTCTTCATTTTGCCATCCTCCTTTACCATCCAACAATATACATTACCCTTACCTAAAAAAGCATAGGACAATTGAATTAACGAACAGGTAAGGATATGGGAAAATGTCCTTTTCAAATCAAATAAATTTTATTTCCCTCTTTTAAAAGTCAAAAGGAAAATGACAAATTCATATTAACTTTATCAAAGACTATGATTCAAAAGACTATGATTTTTAATTTTGTAAAAGCTGTAATCAGTTATAGCCAACAGACATCTCATTTGTCTCCAAATTACAAATTGATAATTAAGGTAGAGTTTCAGTACCAAATACTCATATTGCAGTCAACATGTCTCCTTTAAGTTTACACAGACATCTTAATTGCTCATTCCTTTGCATAAGTAGTATGTACAAAATTAAAAGGCATGCTATGATGGAAGGGAGTCTTATTTTTACTTTGCAAAGGCATCATCTATGCCATAAAAACAAAAACCTCACCTTATACAACATTTCATGGGGAACAGCCTTGATAATTTTACAAAAATAACTATGCAAATTCCAGGAAACTGCAGAAAGAATTGCCATCTTCCAGATTAAACACATGTGAACGTGTATTTAAAATTGCAGTTAAATAAATTGTAGGTGTTATTATTAGCATTGGAAAGTCTTCCAGAGTTTTCCAGAAGCCAAATTTTCAAGGACCCTCACCAAAAATTCAGTTAGGCCTTTTAAATGTCATTCCAGGCTTGGGAGTTCTCTCTGCAGTGCAGCTCAAAAGTCTTTTCCTTTAATTCAGACTAAATGAAACCCCATTGACCTACTTTCAGATTCATGAAAAGGAATGCAGCTATCTTGCTGAGTTCCTTTCTCTTTAATTATCGTATTACTTATCTATTGCTATGTAACAAATCACCCCAGACTTAGCGGCTTACAGCAACAATACACATTTATTATTTAATGATCCTCATGGATCAGGAATTCGGAAGCAGCTTGGCTGGGTGGGTCTGGCTCAAGATCTCTCATGAGGTTGCTGTCAAGATGTCGGCCAGAGCCGCAGTGTCTGCTTCTAAGGTTCCTCACTCGCATGCCTGGCTATTGGCAGGAGGCCTCAGTTCCTTGCCATATGAACCTCTTTATAGGGTTGTTTATACAGCCTTATACAGTTTATAACATAACATGGCAGCTGGATTTTTCCAGAGTGAATGATCCAAGAGAAAGCAAGGCAGATGCCACAGTATCATTTATGACCTAGCCTTGCAAGTCACCATTATTTCCTATGAGTTATATTAGTCAGCTCTATTCTGTGTGTGAGGGAACCATACAAGGGTGGGAATACCAGGAGGCAGGGGCCACTGGGGGCCATCTGAGGGGCTGACTGCGGCAACTATAAAATTTCGATGACTCCAGGTGTATTAGTTTCCTGGGACTGCCGTAACAAAGTACCTCAGACTGGGTGGCTTAAAAAACAGAAGTTTATTTCCTCACAGTTCCGTAGGCTAGAAGTTTGAGTTCAAGGTGTTGGCAAGGTTGGTTTCTTCTGAGGCCTCTCCTTGGGTTGTAGGTGGCCATCTTCTCCCTGAGTCTCCACATGATCTTCCCTCTGTACATGTCTGTGTCCTAATCTCTTCTTTTTATAAGGACATCAGTCATATTGGATTAGGGCCCAGCCTAATGATTTCATGTTAGCTTAATTATATCTTCAAAGACCCTATTTTCAAATACAGTCACATTCTGAGGTACTGGGGGTTAGGACTTCAACAGAGGAATTTTGGTGGCGCACAGTTCAGTCCATAATACCCTGTTATTCACCTTCTTCACAACAGATGTCCTTTGTCCTGGGACTTATAAAAGCAAGTATTCAAACTGCTTACTCAGGAATTCCTTTATCAAATAGTGAACAGGTAACTATTTCATATCTATCTACATATAAGTCATAGGTTTTAAAGAGAAACCTCTGAGAAGATAGGGACTAACTTCAAAAGCCTTATCATGAACTGAGCTCTCCCCATCTGATCTGACCCCCATCTACCTCACCAACCTAATTCCACACCACTATGCCTGTTCGCTCCATTCCAGCCTCCTCCCTGCTCCTCTAATAGGCCAGGCTCCTTGCCATGCAGGAGCTTTGCCCATACTAGTCCCTTTTTGGAATACTCTTCTGCTCTATCATTGCATGGCTCGTTTATTCGCTTATTCAGGACTCTGCTCAAATGGCTCCTTTTCAAAGAGACCTTCCCTGACCACCCATTCTATTTAATCTTCCTCCCTCCTCTCCAGTTACTCTCCAGACTTTTACTCTGATTTACTTTTCATCACAGATAACTACCTGAAATTATATTATATATTACATTTCTAATTCCTTATTGTCTATCTCCCACACTAGGCTATGAGATCCATGATAATGGGGGCTTTATTCATTTTGTTCATTATGGATCCCTAGTGCCTAGTATACAGTAGGTAACCAATATAGTTATTTGTTGAACAAATGAGCAAATGACTCTATCAATTATGTTAGTTGGGGCAGCCTGACTGATGGATGGGCCAAGGAAAGATGAAGTAAGGTGGTACCTATGTATTATGATCTATATCTTCCAGGATTTCTGATCACTAATAGGATACATTTTTTGCTTTGATACAATTTCAGTAAATTGCTCTAATCACATTGGAAATTTCCAGTAAATGTTTGTTTGCCTTAGACGTGAGACTCTGAGATTTAGATATTACATATGCAACGTTGAACAAACATGCAAATGGGTGCCAAACTGGATGTTTCCCAGAAATTCTCAATATTCTAAAACTCAAGTTCCTATATTTGCAAAAAGCTCTCTGTTGATGCATACTGCTTTGTACATTATCTAAAACTAAACCACAAAAGTAGAAAATAATTCTTTACTCTAGTGAGATATCAAGTTCACAAAAATGCTTCATGACTGCCTTTTTTGTTGTACATTAATTTCTTAGCTGAAAATCAAATTGTGGATCTATAAAGCAAGTTTTACCTACCATGGTCTGACATAAGTTTAAATAGCTCAGCTACTCTGTATGGTCCACAGAGGCCACATAGTAAATTAATAGGAATAACCTACCAAAAACACTTCCAGAGACACACAAATTATCTGCCTCCATTCTCAGATTTGTGATGTATTGTGTACCCCTTGGCTGAGATTTAGAGTTTCTGATTTCTAGTGTTAGATCCACAATTATGTATGGATTGTGGTAAGGTATTTAAATTCTCTGGACATTAGTTTCCTTAACTAAAAATCCAAGAGTGATTATGCAATCTGTCTTGTTTCTTTTGATTCTAAAGTCTTATCATTTACTTCTCCTCATTCTCTCCCCGCCCTTCCCTCCAGATCTACAAATGGAAATAAAAAGAAGCATCTGGAAAAGTTTAGGAAGAGCAGTGGTATATAAGTAAATAACCTTATTTCACTTAATAAGAATAAAAAGAAAGGTACTTTATTATTCATTCCTCCTCAATTGCTGTTCCCAGACCTCCAGAGAATCTCCTGGGGATGAATTAAGGTATTACACTACAGGTCATGAGAGGTCACAAGATAAACACTTCTGTTTATTGTTCAAACTGGAAGAAATTATATATCACTTTGCTAATATCTGTTAAAATAAAGATAGGTGGCATTCAGTTAATTATGATGAATTTCATAATTTCAACTCTCCACATATAAGACAGTCATCACAAACATTAAGTTCCCTCAAGAAAGAGGCAGGATTATATATCTATCTTACGTCTTATAGCAATTATCTAACTAGAATGCTCAAAAGTTGTTTACAACATGCCAGTGTGTTTCTCACTACAGCAAGTTTTGTGTAAACTTTTTTTTCACACATTCTAAGCAAAAAAAAAATCTATACATAAAAGTTGCTAAGCGGTGAAACAGTTTGGTTCTTAGCTGTACAAGAAATGGGTACAACTGGGCTGTGTGGTTTGGACACTTCCCAATTTATCAGCTTGATCTATTATTCAGTCTTCTTAGTATGCTCTTGAATCAAATGTTCTTTGTTTTTGTCTAAATGAGGTGATGATAGTATGATACGAATATAGTTCTAGTGTCCCATATGACTTCAACATTTTCCCAGATCACATCCTTTGGAAATATTTCCCTCTTGGGATTTTAAGTAGGTTTTCTTTATCCAGACACATTGTTTCAGAAACCTGCTTCATTTTTCTTACAAAGTTGCTGGGGGTGGAGGGAGGAGCTGTGATAGTAATAGAAAGCCCAAATTTTGTACTTTTATTTATTAGGCGGTCTGGAAGATGAATTCCATTTTAAAGGCTTTAATGATTTCTGATAGGATTTAACATTTTTTTTTTTTTTTAGTTTTAACACCATTTTCAATATAAACATGAATCTCCCAAGCAAAAGATCAGAAGACTCCCAAAAAGGGATTGGCAGATTTTTCATCTTCATATTCCCTCTTGGAGGGTGTAGGTTATAACTATCAAATTTCTAATGGCTCATTGCAACGAAAAGATTAGAAGAAATTCAACATGTTTTTCAAAATTAATAACTTTTCTGCATTTCCATAATGCATTCATATGAAGAATAACAGGAGTAGCAGTATTAAATTATTAGGATATCCATTTTCTCCTCAGTAAATACTTTTATTCCATCTCACATGGATCACGAACAATGTCTGCCAGAGATGATGCCTGATATTTCAGGGAGTAGTAAGTCTGGCTTCCCTCACTCAGGGGAAATGATAACTCTCTCTCCCTATCCAAGTGTTACACAATGACGTAAATTAAGTTATCAACTCAACCACAGGAAAAAAGTTCCAAGTAAAACCAGGGTCTGGCGTCCTTCTTTATTTTGTGGAGCTCTCGGTTTATTTTGGCCATCTCACTCCCTTGTCTCTCAGGTCTCAGTTCTTCTCAAGTTCCCACCGCTCCAATATCTCCTGACTGAGTAAGGAAGCCCTCTTTCTGGAGTTATGATGAAATGAAGGTACTATGAATATAAAATTTGGTATTACACATCTTTATTTTTCAAGGGCCATTTACTCATAAACTAAGTCTATCTCTAGTCAGGAGAACTTTAAGCAATGAGACTAAGTGACAGTTGTCAAGAAAACTTAGCTCGGGAAGGGGGATCTTCTTGTGCTACTTAAGTCACATCACACAATCACCTACTCTTCAATGTAGAAAAGTATTTGGGCTTTCTCTCTCCCTAGTATGCCTCAAGAGTATTAATGTTACTTTTGAAGAACACTTTTGAAAAATTGCCCACCCTTGTCTGAAGAGGTATTAATATTCTCTTTGATACTGCTCTCTACCAACTGTACCTGTGGTCACCTAAATACAATGTGGTACAAAAGATCTCAGACTAGAATATTCCCAAAGTGCATTCGATTGTGCTGGATCAAATGCACCTCTCTTCTTGAGATGGCCTTCTCTACCCCCGTGCCTTGAAGAAGAAAAAAGTGACAGAATTTTTAAAACCTGGTGCTACAAATACAATGTGGAATTTTTAACATTTCATGCAGCAAAATTTAGCAACATTAATACATTTTTATTGATAGCATTTCCCATCCCAGAATAGCTCTTGCAATTCAAATATATTTACAGTACTTCTAAATCACTGAAATATTAAATTACATTCAACATTCTATAGGAAAATATACAACCACATTGATCCATAAACTTATCATTCAAAAATCATCAAATGAATATTTTGAAGAAAATAAGTTTCAATAAAAAGTAGCAAAAGTTTAAAACTAAATCACCTTTCTACATCAAAAGTCATGAATCAAAACAGCGATTACATTAGTTACAGGAAATATTTGCCTTACTCCTTTGATACAAACTCAAAATATAATTCAATGGGAAATGTAAGACACTTATGTGTTCCTTAGAAAGGTAATATGCTATGCATTTCGTAGAATAAGCAAGTTATTGATGGCCTTTTTTCTTCTTTCTAGTTCAACAGGGATGAGGAAAACATATTTTCATGCATTTATCCACTCCGAGTCCTTAAGTATACCAAATATAAAAATTATTCATTGAAACTATTATATCACCATGGTTTGCAGTTTTCAAAGATTGCTTTGCCTATTTAGATCTTTGTTAAAAGAGGGATTTCATTGTATTTAGAAAATGGAATTAATTAGGGCAGCCTGTGGAATTTATTCACATTTGCTACATAAGAATTTATTCGCTTGAAAGGTTTCATTCTTTTGTCACACAGATTAACTGAAGAGACCTTTATAGCATCTAAATATAGCTCAGAGGAATAGTTTAGTGCATCTTGAAATACATTACAGAAATCTAAAGTTTCTTTCCTGATGGAACTGGATGAACCTTTCACGTACCACTTTTTGCACCTGTTCCAGATTCCTTATTGAAAATTTATTTTATAAATTTAAAAATAATTTTTTATGTAGACACTGAATAAATATTTTGATTCTTTTAGAGAAATTTTAAGTTATTGTTGTAATCTTCAAAATGACCATTAGGAGAAGACAGATTGGCCAGATTACAAGTTCTGGAGAGCAGGAATCATGTCATGTTCATCTTTTTATTTCTGGTGTCCCGTTCACCAGAGTAAGCAATAAACAAGTGTTGCTTGAATGAGTGAAAGAATAAATGCATCATAAATCTGGCCATGAATTTTAGCCAAAGGGATACCTTATTATCACCACCCAGCTTTATTCATTAGTTTAACATCTTTTATCTAAGTCTATATTAACTCTAATAAAGATAGTTTATGAAAGTGTCAATATAACTTTACACGTTTGCATTAAACAACAATAACAACAAATGTGTCTTTTCCTGTTTGAAACCAAGAGAAAAATCGAAAAAACAATTTCTTGTGCTTAAGACTTTTACAAAAATATTTTTAGTGTTTAAGGTAGATTTGGAGAGGGAGAGAGGAAAGAAAAAAGAGAAAGAATGAGAGAGTGAGAGAGGGAGAGAAGAATACCAACATTTTTGGGAAAAACAAAATAAAACAGAAGTCTGTAGCCTACCCATTGTAGGATTAGTCTGCCAAAAGGAACTCATAGAGTGGTATCTAGGTCATGCCAGGAATAAAATTTTAATTGAACTTTTTTGGCTTCTAGAAGGATACCAAATTTTCTACGTTGAAATTTTCCTACAATATAGGTTGTGCTTTATATTATTACTTGATCATTAGAACTTTTATGAACACTGTGTCCTTTTAAAACCATTTTTTTTCTTTCCAAAGACATAAAAATCTTTTAAAATGCTCTGAGTTACTTGGCTTCCAAGGGAAACGCAAATGGAGGAAAATGCCTCAAAATTATCACTTCTTTGTGGGGTTTAAAGTTAATAGCAAAATACATTCCTTCACCTACATGCGAAGTCCTTCAAATTGACCTTGAACCTCAGGCAATCACATCCTCACCAGTTCTCTCATTTCACACCTTTAAATTTAAAATCTTCTTCAGTGGTAAAGACTGGCAAAGCTGCCAGAACCCTTCCTGCTTATGCCCTTCATCGCTCCTTTGTTCAATTGGGTCAACACTTTAAAAATAATTCTCTCATTCATTTAATAATTTTTACAAAATACACTAGAATTCTATTATGTAATGTATTAATGCATCATAAGCTTACTGATTTGATATGCTATGAAACCTAAACTCATCTTGCAAAAAAACAGAAATCACAGAAATAAACATGATATATGCAGACTCACTTTAAAATTAAAGGTTTAAGAGAGAGAATTTGGACTTTGCGCAAATTAGTGTTATTTAAAATATTCTCTCTCATGTGACTTTATTCAGGACATTCATTTCATCAGATATCCAGCAGCAATGTTCATTGCACCAGTGGGCACACAGAATCAGAATGACTCAGATATATTATTACTTTTGGAAGGAGACTTTAAGACAAAAACATCTCTCATATTTGCATATGTGTCAACTTGGGAAATCACGGCCTCTCAATAGCTTTAAATAATTTTTCACAGCAGACAGATGTGGAAAGCAATATTTTAGGCATAGGCTTCCATTGTCCTTCAGCAGCACACAGTACTGGGCTATGCTCTGTGCATGGCTGTGATACAGACTAGAAGCCACAAAGAAATGGAGGCAGCTCCAGGTCACTAAATCCTCAGATGCAGTTTCTTCACTGGCAGAAGATGGCGTGATCCACAGGACGACTTTCGGCTCTAAAAGGCTGATCACGTGCAATGATCAGTCAACTGAGGAAATGTCTGAGTCCCTGAAGCCCAACACTCTCTATAACCGCATAGCACTGTTCTGAAAAGTCTAGGTCCTTACTGGGTTAAATACGGAAAATGATTTATTTCTTTAAGTTTGATTTTTGTTAACAGGAATTTGAATTTTGATGCAAAAAACTCAATATAAGTTGGCTAGCTAAAATTGATTTCTACAGTATTCAATTCAGAATTTGACAGAGAAGATAATTCTATATTACTATTGCTATTAGTACTGATACTAACATTGATGTTACCTTCACAACTATTATTAGTACTATTGCTATTACTATGACCATTCCTATCATCATTACCACAACCTCTTCTTGCCTGGGCCTTCTCTAGTAGCCTTCTCACTAATTTCTCTACTTCTACTCTTGCCTTTTTTTTTTTATAGCTTTATTAAATACTGAAATGTCTTTTGTGTGTGTGTGTGAGGAAGATCAGCCCTGAGCTAACATCCATGCTAATCCTCCTCTTCTTTTTGCTGAGGAAGACCGGCTCTGAGCTAACATCTATTGCCAATCCTCCTCCTTTTTTTCCCCCAAAGCCCCAGTAGATAGTTGTATGTTACAGTTGCACATTCTTCTAGTTGCTGTATGTGGGACGCAGCCTCAGCATGGCCGGAAAAGCGGTGCGTCGGCGTGCGCCCAGGATCCGACCCCCGGGCCGCCAGTAGCGGAGCGCGCGCACTTAACTGCTAAGCCACGGGGCCGGCCCTACTCTTGCCCTTTTATAATCCATCACTATCTTTATCACTTTTGATCATTCATTCTCCACACTGCAACCAGATTGAGCTTTCAAAAATATGAATTAGATCAAACCATTCCTCTGCTTTATTAAGGCTCTCCAATGATTGCCCATTTGCTCAAAGTAAAATGCAAACCGCTTAGCCTGTTAAACACAATAATCTTGCCTCTGTTTACTGATTTCATACTGCACTAGTGTAGCTGGGGTACAGTGGGAGGCACTGCCCACTGTGCAATGGCCCTCATTGGTCCCAATCCCATTGAACTCAGACCCCAGAGCCTTTGCACCTGCTGTTCCCACCATCTAAAATTCTCATGCTCCAGCCTTTGTGTGGAGGTTCCTTCCAGCTACTGTCATCTCCACTGTTCAACTGTCACCTCCTGAGAGAGTGCTGTCCTGACTGCACAGTGCTGCCCTATCACTCTCTAGCATATCATTTCATCTTTTTTATTGCCTTTGGCATAACTTGCAATTTTCCTGGATTTTTTTTTTAAGTCTTTACTGTTGAGGGAGATCAGAATTGGCCACCCCAAAATGTGTCTCTTTGGCATGAGGATTATTTTGGGAAACTGCAGAAGGGAAAGAAGCTCTGAAAAGTAGAAGTTGTTCTTTGTAAGAGACATTTACATTTATACAGGAAATCCCCATTTGTAAAGGTATCTCCCTTTCTGTACCAGGAAGAAGGGGGGATGACCTCATCTCTAGAAACTCTTATCAGTGCGGAAGGCAAGGACTTAAATCTGCATACTCTTGTCTACTGTGCTTTCTGGTAATCTCCCATAGGTAACTCCCCCACCCCCAACATCCTCCTTCGTCTTTAGCTGAAGGTAGTATTTAAGGTGAGAAATCCTGCCATCTTGTCGAGATAGTCAGTTACCCAGTGAGTCTTTCCCATGTATAGATGTTACAAAGTTTTGTTTGATTTTCTTCTGCTATTTGGTCTCATACCAATTTAATTTGTGGCCCAGCCAGAAAGGACCCAGAGTGGGTGGGGGACAGTCTTCCTCCCCTTCACTGTCTAAGATGTAAACTTCATGAAGGCAGGAATCCTGTTTTCACATAAAATCATGCTTGATGCATTGTAAGTACTCGATAAAAATATTTTGAATAAATGAAGGAATTAATTATTATTAATGGGAACTTATATTTACTGATCATTTACTAAGAACCAGACAATGCGCTGTGATTACATTATCATAATTTATCCACACTGTCAGCCTGTAAGGGAGAGAAGTGTTAATTATCTCAGTTTTATAGCCTATAACATATGCAAGGCTTAGGGAAGAAGACAAATGGAGACCCACACACCTTGAGTCTAAATACTCAAAAGGTATAAACCAAGCTAATAAACTGTCACATTACATATGTTCTCTACTCTGATCTTGACAATATACCTTCATAAAAACATGTAAGATCAGGCTTGGATTCTTGAATTCCTCAGATTCCACACAGGGACATGGGAAAAGATCATTCTGGATCCCTACCCACTAGCCTACTTGCCTTATCTCCCACCCCACGCTGTGTGCCACACTGCGAGGGACATCCACGCACAGTCTGTGGATAGCCCAGTTTGCATGTCTACGCTCAGTCCACATCCCCGCAAACAGCTATCTCTGGAGGCTACTCTGTGCCTGTAGTCCACCCCTGGGAAGACAGGCTGAGGAAAGAGACCTGTGCAGGTCCTGGAAGTGGGTACAAGGTCATCAGGACAGAAGGTCCCAGGAATCCAGAGCATGTTCTAAAAGGGGGGATACAGGCTCCAGGAAAGCATGTCGCCTTAGTAGCATCGACTCTTCATCTTGAGAAGAAAGGTGTTGCCAGAGGAAGGCCAGTGCAGAGCTTACCAGAGCCCCTTTTACCCGGCTCTAAAAATAAAACTAAGACTCAAAACTTTGAGTCTCAAAAGAGTGAGCAGCAGAGGGTGATTTCTAATCTAGCCATTCTGAGGCCAGCATCCACTCTGCCAACCTTGTTCACATCACAGTAAACACAGAAAATGATAATATTTGTAACGCCTACTGAGGTAAATCATTCAAGCCACCCCAAGCCCTGTCATGCTGCTTTGAATGCTAAGAGGATCAATATCTAGACACATCGAAAATCCAGTTGAGGCAAAACAGTGTACTGAACACTCGAAAGTTGAGCACTGTGCTTTACTTTTCATTATAAATGCCATAAAATGATAAAGATCCATCAAAACGTAAGCCAGCCTATTCGAAGAACAGGTCATTTCTTCCAGCAAATGTCGTTGAGTTCCTCCTATGTGCAAAGCACCCTGCTAAGTGCTTGGGGCAGGGAAGTGGGAATGGCTGCAAAGATCCAGTCATGTGTCACTTAACGACAGGGATACGTTCTGAGAAATGCATCGTTAGGTGGTTTTGTCACTGTGTGAACATTACATAGAGTGTACTGAAAGCAAACAAAATTTTCTACCTCAAAATGTATCTCTTTAACTTGAGGATTTTTTTAGGCTGATTATTTTTAAGAGACAAGAGACTCAGAAAGTTTTTGTTACCTCTCCCTTAATTGCCTAAAAGAATTCAGATAAAAAAACCTGTCTCAGGAAGCGAGCTATCACCTTAGCATAACAAGAACTAGTTGGTAGACAGGGAGGAACCTAGAAAAGCCTGTTTCTTGAGGTCCTCTCTGTGCTCTTCTGTTTCTGTGTGGCCAAACACTTATTTTCCAAATGCTTGCTCCTTTTCACCTCCCTGTGAATTGTCTTCCTTCCCTTTGAAGTCCCTGACTCTCCCCACCCCCAATATCTTCTTTTGTTTTTAGCTGAGGACAGTACTTAAGGTGAGGGCTTTGGCCATTCTAGTGACATTTTCCTGGGTTTCTTCCACATATACCTGTTATTAAACTTGCCTTTCTCCTGTTAATCTGTCTCATGTTGATTTATTTCTTAGACCAGGCAGAAAAACCTAGAAAGGTAGAGGAAAATTTCTTCCTCCCCCACAGCACTTACACAAACCTAGATGATACAGCTTACTATACGTCTAGGTTGTATGGTACTAATTTTATGCGACCACTGTTGTATATGCAGTCTGTCCTTGACTGAAATGTCATTACGTAGCACAAAGACTGTAAACAAGATACAGTCACCATCTTTAAAACGTATGTCATACAATGGAGAAAATGCAAATGAACCACTGAATACAATACAAACAGGATAAGTGACATGATTTGATAGCACTATAAGGAATTTAGCTTAGGAGTACAAGGAACGTTCGGTTAATTCTGACCAAAGGATCAGGAGAAGGAGTTTATGAAAATCCAGACAGCATTTGAAGTGGATCCTGAAAGATACAAGTGACTTTAATAGTTCAGGTTGTTGGAGAGGACATTCTGGGTTGACAGAACAACACAAGCAGAGGCATGACAATTACAACTCTTGGTATAGCATTGGCAAGTCCAAGGTGGGCAGATTGAAGAATATTATTCTGGGAGAAGAGTTTGGAATGATAGTTTTGTGTCAGACTAAGGAATAGTATGAATGAAATATGAAGGCATCTGAATTTTATCCTTAGACCACAGGGAGACACTGAATGAATGTTTTTGAGGCAAGGAGCAACACAATTCCAATTTTAAAGAAGATAGCTGAAAGAAGTCATAAGAAGAATAAATTAGTAGTGAGAAGGACATGCAGGTGAGGCAGGCTTTAAACAGGGCAGTAGTAGTGGAGATACAAAGAATTGGATAGAAGAATTATGAAGAAATTGAATGAAGAGAAATGAGTAATCACTTGATAATGGGCTCCCAAAAGGGGCTGACAACGATTTGAAAGTGTCTAGCCTGGGCAACTAGAACTATCATGGCCAAAGGCTCAGGGGACAGGAACAGATGTTATAATTACACAGGGTTTGGCATTTACGTTGGAAAAGAGGAGGGCTCAACTGTCCCAGCGAGGGGAGGAATGGAAGAGAGATTTACGGAAGAGAAGAAGCAATAGGGATACATGTGGAAGTTAACAAAGAATGGCTTGTATTTTCTCAGTGAAGCAGATTCCAAGATTGGTAGTTGAGAAAGAAGGGATTGGAGTATGGTTGGGGTTTTAAGTAATATTTTAAATCTCTTAAAATTATGTAATGGGACTTGGATGAGAATTTGGGAAATGGATTGCCGGATAATTTAGGTCTTTACTTGTTTGCCTAATGGATCCTTTACTTAATCCACTGATAGGTGGAAAAGTAATTCAATGGAAGTTCTAACACTACAATGGTTTTACAAGAATATTTTATGTTCTTCTCCAGAGTTTAGAGATTTTTGAATGATTTTAAATTTTCAAAGTATTTATATATTAGAAAACAATTAGAAAAGAAATGTTCATCAAGTGTGCAAACAAAACTGATTTTGGATTTGTGAATGGATAAAATCACTGAAAACAAGTGCAGAACAGTCAACAGAGCACTGTATATAAGCTAAAAGAAATTACTTAAGGTGCTGCCCCTTAACACTTTTCAGAACATGGTTCTAGAAAATGAGATGTTTTACCAAGCCCTTCAGTTTTGGTAATAATATAAGAAGGATTAATTGAGATTTTAACTAAAAAAGAAAGAAAAGAAAAGAAAGGTAAACAATGGCTTTAACGAAGAGCGCCCAGAATTGAATCGGCCCTATTTAATAGCCATTTATACAAATAACTAGTTTCACAAAATTAACTGACATTCGCCTACAATTTTATCAACGTACTTTCAGGGTGTGAAAAATAATGGGATTTATTTTGCCATCTCAAAATTGGCCTCTGTAAATTCACACAGTTCTAATTTATCTACCCTAATATCAGGAAGATTTAGTTGTAAGACACTTTAATTAGTGCTCTCTCTGTACCTGGTAGTTAGTTACTGCCATTTTAGCCTCTTCAGGTTTTATGTGCATGCCATAATTCTAGTGTGTTGCATAGCAAATATAGATTACCAAAAGGTTACCTCTCAGAATACTTAATAAAGCTACAAAATAGCAAGATAGAAACTCTATTTCAAATGCCAGACTATTGCACAATTAGATTCAAGGAACACAGTCTATGAGTTCCAAGAACCTAAAATTACTTTATCAAGAGACAACAGTGGCAGTGGGGAGGGATAAGAGTGATACCTGAGAGGAAGAATCAGTAGAAATTGGCAATTCATTGCATGTAGCGGTCGAGGGAAGGGTCAAAAATAAATCCAAAGTGTCTAAGTGTAGGTGACCTGGAGAAAAACTGGGATGACAAGCCTCAAGGAGTCAGGAGAGAAAGGAATCAAAAACACTGGTGGAGGAAATAGCATTGGAAGGGAAGAAAGGTACTCCTTACTCAAAAATGGGAGGGAAGAAGAAGAAATTCAGAGATGAAAAGGGATGATCAGTTAATGGGATTCATATGAGCTGATCTTTATTTTCTCAGTGATACAAGGTAATCAGCTCAAAGTGAGGGGAACAAATGCTATGGAAAATGGGCTAGTGCAATACCAGAATAGATTCTTTTCTTCTGCCTAGTCATTAATGAGGGCCTAGAATTACCACTCCTGGCAGAAATACAAAACCCAACAATTATGAACTAGGGTTCAAAACAAGGAGTCCCAGAACC